GACCTGTGATTGACGGTGAATACTGGTCTGGTCCTGACACCATTACTGTGGAGCCACAACAGAGTAAAAACTATGAGTTAACCTACAGACCACTTACTATGACTCAGGAAGGAAAGAAACACTTGGTATGAGTAGTTCCGTTATCATTTTATTTCATCGTATCGCAGTGCTCTGCGTTACATTGTCGGCGCTGCGTAGCATTGATTGTATTGTAATTTGTAATTTGTGGCATTGTAATTTCTGAATTTTAGGAAGGGAGAGCTTTTTAATTGTTAATTGCGGGTTAAAATATGGTTTTTTCTACATCACTCCCCGAGTCATTCAGCCTGGTCACTCTTGGACGATACCGAGTCTTATGCATTATCTAATACAGTAATTTGTCGATATTTAGAGGATTTGACCCATTCCATCAAAATCAATCTTCCTTACTGATTTTTTAAAACAAGGATTTGGCATTAAAATGCCTAATCTTTGTAAGCCTAAAATGCGTCGTGATGTGACGCACACTAGGGGTGAGAAACAACTCTTGGATTTACGGCAGAACCAGGAGCCCAAGTCATGGGCTCCTGGCAGAACCTATGCTTATCAAAAACTCCGTAGAATCCGAACTTTTTCATGTTTCTGAAGAAAACGCCTGGTTGGATTATCTTTAAGTTGCATCTTTTTTAAATCTCATCGAGTAACGTGATTCAAGTATTTAAGGGTTGCATATTTCTGTTTCAGGGCTCTGTTTTTTTCGCTCTCCCGGATGGCAATGGTCTCCTATATAACGTGACTGGTAATGCAGAGGGTCCTAAGCCGGTTAACAACATACAGAGAGAGGTACCTTGTAAAACGTCCTACACTGAAATGCTCACTGTCACCAACTGGCTGCGAAGACCTCAGAGGTTCGTGAAACGGTTTCTCTTCTTTCGTGAACCGTTTGATAAAGCGAACGAATTCGTAATTTTAAAGGTTTAGTGATTCTCTAAAGGTGTGCTAGATACAGAAATCAGCGGTTGAAGTGAAATTGTTTTGATAGAATTTTTCACTGAGCGCAACTCCAGTTGTAACGAGTTTAATTAGCTCCCTAAACTTTTAAAAGCTCTTCATCAATAACAAGAAACACAACTTGAAATTTCAATAATTTACAATTTTTATCTACCCATTTTAACCCTAGCAGTACGTTACACTGTATGGTAATCAAACATGACAAAGCTTTCACGCCCATTTCACACTATAACCAACCCTCAAAATCTGACCTACAAGTATTGAATATGATGACAGCCTTGGCGTCGTTGAAACTCCCTTCAATTCCATTTTCCTTTTTTAAGGGAAATTCTTTTTATTGTCATGAAATTGTTTTGATCCATTCTTCATAAAGAATTGGTACTGAGAAAACTATTGGGATTAATAGTATTTGTAGTTGTGTTGTAGCTTTTTGCGGCACCTATGCCTCACGTTCTGTGGGATTTTAACTCAGCACCATTGCATTTATTGTTACGTTAGATTCCGCGTGATAATAGAGATGCTGAAACCTGACAGACCAGACAGCTCTACTACGCTAAAGGGACTGGACTACATCGATGTCCCGGGTCTCTCCAAACGAGAATACAGATTGAACTTCTTTGCTCACAAAGAGGGAACATTCAGTGCCAAGGTAAGAAATTTTAGAGTCACTTTTTACAACTAAATTTTAAAGCTTCAAACCCGTGGACTTTTTGAACTGTTTTGGGGCATCTAGTAGAAAGTGCGGCATTAGTATGAGGTAAAAGATCATGGTATTTGCTTCCAATTTTTTTCATTGAAAAGTTTTCACAAACATGGATGCAACAAATTAACGCTTCCAGCTAGAGTATCAGTTTTTCTTCATACTTTACCTTTTCTTTGCAATGTAATAGTGCATCTAACTGCAGTGAGGTGAACAAAGACTTTTTAAAAGTAAGGAAATACTCTAATAATCAAGGTGACGAGTTTTTCAGTTGCTATAATGATAACCGTTATTTACTTTAAATAAATAGAGCGAGAGACTGGCCGGTAAAATATTTATCCCAATAATAGAATGTCTGCGGTTACTCGAATTTTGCCGTCGTTGCTTTTCTCTGATTCTGTTGTTAATCTACGGATCTTCAACTTGCAGGTGATATTCAGGAATGAACAGGGCGGAGAATATCTGTTTTATTATGTGACTTTCAAGGCAGTGCCCCCTGGTGTAATGGCTACCATTGACTTGTCCACGCCCATACGTAAGAGCACGTCACATGTGGTGACGTTACACAATCCCCTCAGTACCCCTGTGACATTCAATTCTCAGTGCTCTGTGGCTGACATCCAGCTGCCGCCAAGTTTCACCGTTCCTCCTTTATCTGAGGTTAGTGCATGCCTTGTTTTAAGATACTTTATGGTCTACGTTTCTTGTGATTATAACAGCTTGTTGTACTTCAATTTCAGATATGGTGCTACATTAACTCTAGTCACCTTTCGAAAAGTGACTTTTGTGCTTTTCAAAACTATTATCGTGAACGTACTTGTGGGTTTTTGTTTTGAGTTTTATTTTTCATGTCTCCCCGATTATAAAAGTTTTTTTTTTTACCTCCGGATAGTCTTTTATGTTTGACGACGAATTAAAATCATTTACGTAACTTTAATGGGCACCCATGTTACTTTCATTTTTTCTTTCAATTTTAGGGATAAGGGCCGGAAAAAATCGTCTTCAACTCATTAGTTATAATATACCAGTCTTCATTTGCAAACTGGTGTGTAAAGATGCATGGTGTTGTGGACAAAATTAGAGGTAGTCCGTATTTAAAAACCTGTACAACAAGCTTAAGCAGTGATCGAGTTCATCTTTAGTTTCTCTCCGTCTGTTCACTCCAGGGCTCGTGTATGTTTGAGTACCTCCCGCTGAAGGCCGGTGAGTTAACAGGCCGACTCTCCTTCAGCAGTTCAGAGTTAGGCGTGTATCAGTATGACCTCAACCTAACCGCAACACCTGCCGGAACAGAGGCTCCTGTTCATTTCCGTGCAGGCTTGGGTACCAGTCAAAGTCAGACCTGTCGATTTGTAAACTTTGCCAAGTCTAAAGTCGAGTACAGCTGCAAGGTAGTAACATTTCTTCCATCTTTGTTGCTTGCTGTTTAAATAGTTTTGAGCTAAGTCGAAGACCAGAATAAAAGCACTGGAATTGAGTTACACAGTTTGTCATGGAGTTTTGAGCCACAGATAATAATGATATCAAGGGTAGAGTTGTAGTGAAACAATAGCACGTCTAGTGAAAGGGGAGGGGGGTAGGGGTGACACCTGGTTAGGAATTATTAGGTCTCCACATTTTGAGAATGTCTGTCGTGCTAATCTTTTCCATCATCAATATCCAAGTTCCTTTTTGGTTGATTCATCCCGCTCAGCTGTTTTTCTTTTCTTTTTGATCTCAAGAGTATTTTGCAGTTCCCTCTCGTTGAAGGCAATTTTGCGCGTGGCTAAGTGGGATCAAAATCCTTTTTCGGTGTAGCTCTTAAATTTGATACTTAGAGGAATCAATTGTGGGAAGAGTTGTATGATTTTCTGTAGTTTTTCACTAATCGAGTTTACTCTCTCTTAAGGTGGACAACACTGATTTCCATGTTGAAAAGAATATCACGGCAGCCTCAGCGTCAAGTGGAGGCACAGAGGTCGGTGTGGAAGTGACCTATGAACCATCCCGTCTGGGTGATACTCGCGCTACTCTGACCGTTTTCTCTCCAGTAGGAGGAGAATACGTGTTCCCACTGTTTGGTCACTGCAGTCCTCCAAAACCCCAGGGTCCGTACTCGATCAAAGCGGGTGCAACAACCTCAATTCCGTTTAAGAATGTGTTTTCACACACTACTCAATTTACCTTCTGTCTGGATAGTCCGTGTTTTAATGTGAAGGCGAGCGAGAGCGTCCGTGCTAAGAAGACCCATAATATTATCGTTGGTTTCGAGGGAAACCAAGGAGGTTCCAAGGCTCCGCGCATGGGCAGACTCATGGTCACGTGTCCGAGGAGCGCAGGTGGTGCTGGGAATGTTACTTGGACCTTCTACCTGAAGGGCCTCACTCCGTGAAATTAAACTGAGTTAAATTTCCGTTTCATTTTTAGAAAGGAGTGTTTATTTTTTGGACCCGGTGTAGTGCTTCAACTTGTAGATATCATTCATTTCACAATAATGTTTACGCATACATTCGATGCACTTTCCTTGCCGTTCTCTACAAATGTCTGTTTAGTGTATAAATTTTGTGGCTGAGGACATGTTTTTCATATTATAGCGGTTATGAAGTTGCTTTGATATCAAGCCATGCCAAGAACTTTCAAAATAATGATAATAAAGTTTGTGTATAAGATGCGTCTGGGTGTTGTCCAACTTGTCCCCTTCTCTAGATCTCACAACTCCGCGAGACCTCTGCAATTGCTGCGTCTCCTTAAATACCCGTGAAATAGATCTAAAACTTTAGAAAACCCCAAGTGATTACAAACACTAGTTTTCAATCAATAGAACACTATTTCCGTGTGAAAATAGCTTCTTCTGAAAAGTTGACGCAAACCACCGCCTACTTAGGGTTCATAAATTTCGAGAATTCTTCGAACCCCAAAGTGTTTAATTGAAGCTTTGTAAATTACTAAGAAACTTAGGGAACAAGTTCTTCTCGGAAACAATTTCTGGACACTAAGAACTCGTGTGAAACAGCTGAAATCTGGTCCCTGTGACTCTCTTTGGGTCTCAAGTTAAAAAGATTTTATTTTGATTTAAATGAGTAGCAGCAGATTCGTTTCTCCCCTTGCTTTTCGCGTCCGATGAGTAATGTTATTAGGAATGTGCGGAGTCTTATTCGGTCTGTAATCATACGAGTGATTAGGAAAATCGAACGATCGCAACGCGGGAGTTTGATTTGACAATTACGAGTATGATTACTGACCAAATTGGAGGACACTACCATGGCCTGTTACCAATTAATTGTAACCGTCCTAATTTCAGAGAAAAATAATGTTTTATTCAAAGAGGGGCTTCTAATTCCAATCCATAAACACTTGACCATTACAGTCTGACAAAAACACACAGGAAAGTTCTTACACTTTTGAAAATACTCAGCCTGGGATGATAAACCATTGCTTGGGTTGCTGTAATCAATTCAGTATTTAACAATCGGGTATAGATTTACATTATATTGTTGTAATGTCTTGCTAATGATATATCTGTTCTCTACGGATGACATTCTTTTAATTATGAACACATTTTACCTAAAGATTCTGCTTGCATAACATTTTTGTGGAGACTATTCCAACACTGCTATAGCGACACATTTCACGAGGATAATTGGTTCAAGGCATTGGAATAGCTAGTTTTACTTAAAGAATCCCAGAAAGCCTATGGGGAAGTGTCAGATCGATTTACTAATTCTGAAGCAAGGCCACGTATGGATTTATAAACCATCAAGCCCATTAATCGCTTTGTTAAGTTCTGCAATTTTTCATGAGAATATGTTCTCCACTCAAGTTGAGGACGTAATGCATCTACTCTTTATCTCTACATATAATTAAAAAATGAGAGAAATTCTATCAATTATTCAAACTGCAAGAGGCTGGGCAATTGGCAAGAGTTGAATTTCGCGTTAATTCTACCGCTGTTTTGTTCGTTAACTCGCCCTTGAGTCTTCCGTTTCAGTCCTTATAGCTAGCTTTAAGTAAAATAGTATTAGAGGTAAATGTCCTAATGAAAAGCTCTCCGGAATTATATATATCTGATGCTGTTGAAAGTCAGCATATTGACTTTTTTAAGCGATTCCATAGCACTTTAGTTTTCCCAGTGTGTGATATCCTTCCTCGGGAGAACCGGTTGTATCACTAAACCTCATTTGTCTAACCGGTAGATGATTCTTATCCGTGAGAATACCACTGTCTTCACGCCACACATTGTCATTTTTGTCACAGTTACAAGGAAGCTTGGAGTTTGCGCATGAGTTGGTCATTCCGCATGCACACTTACCACTGCCAGGTGATGCTCCGCCCCAATAATTCATCTGAGTGGAGTCACGTGATACCCACCAGCTTACGCCTGTCATGAAAGAATTATAACACTCATACTGGATAAACTGTTCACAGTTTGAGGAGACTTTAGTGAGACTTGCCAGCTGAGACAGACTTGCTCCGGTGTAATGAATGTCCCGTACGTAATTGTTTGTACCTTTCACGCGTGTTCTTCTTTCAGTGTCGTGACTGATGACTGTCACGCCAACCCCATCCTTGTCACTCATATCACAATAAACTGTAAATGGTGCAAGAGGTCCCTCGTCATCTGGGTCAATGACGTAATTTCCGCTTGCATTGTTGAGGTTTTTCCTTATCACAGAACAAGACGTTGCTTTAATCGGAATGCTGATTTTGACTTTGGTTTCTATTGCTGTCAAAGCATTAGCAGCTCTACAAGTGTAAGATCCTTCGTGTGATTTCTTTATGCTGTTCATTACCAGAGTTCCATTCTGTAGAACATTGGACCCCGCAGGTAAGGACGACCTGCCATGCTTCGTCCAACTGATTGTTGTTTTCAAGTCACTCTCGACCACACACGGCAGATGAACAGTTGAGCCAGCCATT